TATTAAAATACATTTAAATTAAAAAAAAAAAAGTTCTAATAAACTATATTTCAATTGCTTGTTTGTGTTCTCTGAAGAATGACCTAGTTGTCGTGCTATGTAAGATGGTTGATATGTGTCTATATTTCATTTGCGCGTAAATCCTGAACAGACCACACTTTTTAAAGAAATTCGAATTTCTAATAGACTTTACAATTATTTAACATAAATCAGGAATTTTACTAAATAAATATTGTAATTTTTAGAAATGCATTTTGATATTGTGTACCATTTCGTAATATATTAGTTCATCAAGTCGTTGTGTTTTATACTTTGATATATTTTCTTCACAAGTCATTTTTGTTTTGTTTTAGCACACGGGTAAAAATTAAAGCTTTTAAACCAAACGAAACCCGAAAAAACTCCCCCATTTTGAATTTTTCGGTACTTTTAAAAATCGCTAAGGCTTATTTATTTATGAACTGCTAACAATCAAATTTAAAGGCTTATATTTCAGTATATATATTTAAACTTTTGTCACGACAACATTTTGAAAGAACTGCTAGTCAGATTTCTAGAAGGTCTGAAAAATCGTACCCTTTTTAGAATGCAAACATTTCAAAATTCGCTTATTATTTACAATAAACTTTTATCTATGAAAGCCATTACAATTGCCTCAAGAAAAAAGTTTCATTTTTGCATAAAGAACAATTACTGAAAATATGGTGTGAATTGTTGTATAAATACAAAAGTAGTAGGCTTTTTAGTGTTAAAAACTGCGAACTTAGAAAAACATACAAACGGAAAGAGAAGTAGGTCACGAAAATACCATGCGCATAATTTGGAAAGCCGATTGTAATCTTTGGGTGATTCCGAGATTATAAAAATACGATTATCAAATATATAAGAAATCCAGATATATAACCTTTCGTAGAGAGCTTGTAAGATTTGGAGAAAATGATTATTAACAGGGTTATAAAAATGTAATTTTAAACACATTTAAAAAATGTCATTAAAGTTATTATTTTAATAGAAAAATGGAGAAAGTATCATAAAGTGTAAGAAACCCATGATGAATAAAAAATCAGGATTTTGGTGATTTTTTTAATGCTCATATTCCATTAACATTTACCTGCTTAACAACTGATATAAGTAACGGCTATAGTTTTCTTTGATCGTATTTGGAAAATATAGGAGTAATTGAATTACTGATTAAATCTTCTAAGAACATTACTTTTAGAATTTCAGTACTTATCTACCAATCAATATTACCAATAAATGTACTTAGTAACCTTCTGAGATAATCTCCCCCACACACCCACACCCACCCCACATATGATACTGGCATGTGGCAAAGGTGTGGCGCTTACATGTACATGTATAAGTCACAGTACCAGTCAAACAAAACGTGACTACACCATCAGAGAACACACGGGCTTTACATTGGGTGATGTATTAAAAGAGACGGAGCCCAGAACTAAATATAGAATCTGGTGAGATATGTGTGGCGCCCTAACAGCCAATCAGAATGATGAATAGAGAGGCGAATTACAATTTCGAGGCTGGAGTGTACTGTGATATCGGATAAATCCAAGTAGGCCACAAGGACATGTGCTGTAATAGATCTGTTTTAACTTTAATTATTTTTTTGGACTTCCTTATTGATGAATCATTATAGCAAGAGTGCGTCCCTATTCATTTTACCATTGCTCCTTCCTTCATGTACTTTCCCTATCCTCAAGTCGACCTTAGGGGGCGCCAAAATGGGTTGGAAAAATAAATTGAAAGGTCGAGGGGGGTGCAAGTGGAAAGTTTGAGGGGGGGGGGTGCAAATCGAATGGAAATCTTGAGGGGTGGGGGTGCAAGTCGAAAGTTTGAGGGGGGGGGGTGCAAATCGAAAAGTTTGAGGGGGGGGTGCAAATCGAAAAGTTTGTCCCCGGGCACAGGGAAGGGTCGCAACGCATCTGAGCTGGTTAAAGTTTATAAACACAAAAAACACCTATCATTTGAACTTTTAATAAAGTACCAGGCAGACCCGTACCTTTACAAGAATTTTTGGCCGACAAACGACAACGACAACAATTACACAACATTTTAGGCTGAAAGGGGTGTCTTATTTTAGTTTGCGGATATGTTGGAACTAGCCACTCCAGGCCGGAGTAGGTGAGCAAAAATAAATAATTTAACACCCTGAAGCAGATATTATTTTAGACGCTACAACACTAAACTAAAGCAATTATGAAAATGATTTTTTTTCAAAATTTCTTAAAATATATGCACACAAAAAAAAACAATGCATAAGTAAGATCTACACATCATGTCAGATTTTATTATAAGACTAAAGTTAACGGTAAAAACTTTTGTTAACAAACAACCAAACAGACTTTCAGATAATGCACATATAAGCAAAAGAAGCAAGTAAATCTTTGGTTTTCCTCCTAAGGCGGCTCCAAGAATTAATAGATTAAGCTCATTTGACTAACTTCATGACATTGATTTAAATTAAAGTTTTCTCAAACTCGCCACAGCTTAAATAGTTTTTTCAATGAGAAACTCCAAAAACAAGGGCACAATATTTTAGTCAGTAAAACTTTACTTTGTTTCTAAATTCTATAGTATAATATAGTATATATATGTATATATATATATATATATATATATATATATATATATATATATATATATATACCAGTGGTTCCTAACTTCTTTGGAGTTACTGAACCCCACAAGTTTTAAGGGCACATTCACCGAACCCTTCTTAAAAGTGAATCATATGAGCCGGGTGTGTTTCTCGACCTCCACTGAACCCCTGAGACTATCTCGCCAAAACGAATATATATATATATATATATATATATATATATATATATATATATATATATATATATATATATATATATATATATTTAAACATATATACAGTCTCACGGATCTAAGTGCTAAATTAAAGATTATTTAAGCCAGCCTTTGTTTTGTTGTTTCTCGCTTAAAAATATTTTTTTGCTCGTAAATCTTCGTTAGAAAAAAATACAACCCCCCCCCTCCACACATGCAGTTTATCTACCGTCCCCCAGACGAAACGTATTATCACCCCCCCCCCCCCCAGCCCAACCACACCTGCAGAAAATGTCTAACATAAACCTCCTCTTAAGTGTAATAAACTGTCTTCTTATTGTATGATTGCAATAACCTGCGCATTAAATGCGCATATTTGAAAATTAAATTAAGCACATTTAGTAAACTGCTCGATAAATTACTATTATCAATAAATAGCAAAACATAATTTCATAAAGCGTCATTCAAATCACATTTCTTAACGTTTTAGTTTATTTATTTTTTCCCCAGGGAAACTTAATTGCCAGAAATGGGTCAAGCTTTCTTTGTTTTAAATAATACAAATAAAAATGTTTTAACATAGTTTCACGTGTTCATAGTTTATGGGTTTATATCTTGATAAATAATATCACACGTCCCATCCAATTACTCCTTTAAATTATTTATCTATTAAATAATACAAGTTATCATGCATGAAATATTAACATTACTTCTTGAGTTAAAAATCACGAGTCGAGTAAATATTAGTAGGAAAAACAGAACACTGTTTCTGTTTGTTAAAAAGCGCTACACAACAATCCATTTGAGAAGTAAAATGGGAGCGAGCAGAACTCAAGTCGAAATTGAGATTTTCTTTGCAATTGGCACTGTTTCTCTTCTCTATGGAGCAATGTGTTTACTCGGTACTATTGGGAACTCGATATCTATTCGAACATTTCTAAAAATGAGAGTTAAAGATGGTATAACCATGACGTTTTTGCTACTTTCTATTACAGACCTCTTTTATCTGGTGTGTGTTGGTGCTTCAGTCGTTGTTTACATTTTATATATAGTCGAAGAAGTATCGGACTTTAGAATTTATTTTCCAATTGACCCTTACGGTGTGTATATGTATATTACAATTAGTGGAAGTATGATATACAACATAACTTTGCTAACCGTAACATATATGGCTGTCATTAAATGCCTTGGTATTGCCAGTCCTTTATATTTTAGAAACTATTTTACTACACGGGCGACATTATTTATTGTTGGTGTAATTGTATTTTTTACAATAGTGGTATTCACACCACTTTTTATTAATTTTGACATGGAGGAGATGTTTGAATCTCGAGTTAACGTGACGCGGCCAACGTTACATTTTGTATCGTTCGCATCACAAGTCGTGACTGTTGTCCACCCATTCGTAGGCTCATTCCTGCCTGTAACAACGCAAGTAGCTATGGTCATCAGTGCTGGCATTATGGCCCGTCACCTCAAGAACTCTCTAGCCTTCCGTAACAAACACACGCTCCCGTCTCGTACACTGACCTATCCCAACATTGACCACCATGCCCGGAATTCTCAGACGACAAAACAAGTCAGCAAGGAACTTCACGCCATTCAGCAAACATTCATCATCACGACGATTTTTATCGTCTGCAACTTACCTAAAATTACATTCAACATTTCCAAATATTTCTTACCAGATTTCTCCTTAGACAGAAAAGCTGGCTTGTGGATTGCTCTATTTCAGTGTATTAGAGACACGCTTCAAATTCTAAACTCAAGCACCAACATACTCGTTTACTATAGGTATAACTCGAAATTCAAAAGAAATTGTTTGAAATAATTTAATTTTTGTCAAACAATGACGTTTCTTATTTAAATTCATTTTATTATCAGCAACACACAAAGTATTACTATTGCCTTCATTTTTACAAATATGATTTCTGTAAAATTGATTCACGTCAAGTTGTGTTGTCTTTTATCTTAAATTTCATCTCTATGTAAAAAATTTGCTAAATATTATAAAACAAAATATTTTTAAAATCTAGAATATTTGTTTTCTCCAGTAATCTAATTATTTTCTTAATATCAGGCATGGCGCATTAGGGAGGTGAAACAAGCATGTCTTTACCCCCTAACGACTCCAGCTTTACAGTGTGTTAAACAAACGATCAGATCTTTTGGATATGCCATGACAATTATCTCCAAAACATATCTCTGAACTTGGAATTGTAATTGTAGTATATAAAAACATTGGAACACGAATACAGCATTTGAAATGTATCCCGCATGACGTCAACTGTCTCATACATTCTCCCGTATTTCCCGTCGATAGAATACTCAGGGTAAAAAAACACGACAGTGTGGATGCACATCTTTGGTAAACTGCTCACAGTAAACACCACAGACAGGAGAATCATTTGTTTGATGATCTGAAGTTCCTTGCCACTTAACTTGTTCTTCTCGTTTGTTATTGTTTTGTTGTTGGTTTCTTGGCTGTCGATTTTAAACTGAGTTGATTGAGTGGATGCTATAGCCGATGTTGTGTGTTTCTGTCGAAATCTTAAAGCTGCTTTCATGTGATTGGTCATTAACACAGAAGTAATGATTAGAATAACCTGAACAATAAGTGGAAGCAAGGATCCTCTGACTGGCCAGACGACATACGTCACCCATTTCCTTTCTGGTGAAATCCACAACGAAGGCCTTGTGTTGTTGATCCTGGCATCATAGAGCGGTATTATCCCCATCAGAGCTAAGATGGGAATATTTGTTGACAAACAAAACGGAGCACTGATTGAGAGAAATAAAACGGAGACCTTTTTTGTCCCGAGCTTATGTCTAAACCACAGAGGTTTGGCGACACTTAGGCAACGACAAATGGACAGAAATGTCAGTGTGAGCATTGTGTTGGCATAAAAACCGCTCCCACAATTTGATATATAGGTCTTTATCCCGTACGGATCCACAGGAAAATATATCTTAAATGATGTCATCAGTTCCATGGTTATAAATATGTAAGAGATTGATGAAATTGTCATACAGAGAAGATACAACAAATCTGAGACAGAGAGTAACAAAAATGAAAGCGTTACTCCATCTTTAGGTCCCATGGCCAGAAATGTCCGAATGGTCAAAGAATTTCCGATAAGACCAAGAAACGAAAGGACACCCCGACACATAAAGAGGACCGTTGTTTCAAACGAAAAGTTGTTTTGCATCGAAACGTAGGATACATTTTCGGAGACATTTGTTCCCATTGTTAGTTGTGGAATTTGAGCTTTATTTTTTGAATTAATATTTCCCTCTGTTCCTTTAATTGCGTAGCAGTTATATATTGATGAACAACATCTTTTGACAAAAGAAATTATGATTTTTCCTAAATACCAAATATCTTTAATTTATTAACTACTTATTTGAGTTAGGAAATAATATATGCCCTTATTTTATCAAATGTTTTTTGTTAGTTATAGTTTTGTTTATAACTAGATTATTTTAAAAGAATAATTCTAAATTGAATACAGCCTTATCAAAATGGTGTAGTTTTTGCTTTCTTCTATTTGTGGTAGCTTTTATAATTAAAAAAATATGTAATTTTTAATTTCATCTTTGTTTTGGTCTTAATTACAATAGACTCGCATTTAAAAATAATTAAATACAGATTAATTAATCTACGCGACCAATTTTATTGTTTGATTTAAAAGGGTGTATATGATTGACTATTTCACGGTTTTCAATATTGAGTACAGGAAAGGAAATTTTGTTTTCTAACATTAAACATGCGCCAAATATTCACTTGGTAAATTTCTAAATGTATTGATATGAAACGTAGTTGCAAACATGAGTTTAATTATTATGGATCTCAACACACCTTTGATAACCCACATTTTTATTTGTAACGACAATAGTGACTTTGTAAAGCTATAGCATGAATGCAAACTAATTTTATTTTGTAACTAATGGTAGCGTGAATTTAATTTGCAATCGTTACTTAAGTAATATTTACATAAACCGATGTGCAGGTATAAGGCGTCAGACAAGTATTGACTTTTTTGTGTATTCTAACGAAATTTCTTCTCTAAATATTGGTACACTAGTCATGTACTCGTGTTTCATAATGTATTTTTAAATTCTCGAGTGTATGTAAATGCTGTATTATTCACGAGGACATCAACTTGTAGAAAGCCCTACAGTTGAAATAATTTAACTGCAACAAAACATCATCTGGAATGTCTGCCTTATGACGTCAAAAGTCTCATACAAACCTCCAAACTTGCCGTTGATGGAAAACTCTGGGAAAATAACCATGGCAATATTAATACAGACCTTTGGGATGTTACTGACAATACAGATAAGGGAAATAAGAAGCATCTGTGTTATGATCCGGCGTTCTTTGGCGTTTAGAATTACCTTGTCGTTGACCAACAATTTATTGTTTACCTCTCTATTACTATGTTGTATTTGATTAGTCAAATCTATCTTAGACATTTTGCATTTGTCCTGAACTCGATTAGACTTTTTGAGTATTTTGGACATCACAAAAGCACAAATCATTTAAATGTATCCTGCAGCTATCTAAAGAAAAAAAACGCTCACTAGCAAGACAAGGGATTTCAGTTGAGACCGGGGGGGGGGGGGGGGGGGGGGATGGATACACGAAAATATCAGCCTGGTTGTGTTGATCTGAACCTCATAGAAGGATTTACTTTCCAACAACTTGACAGCTTTGTGATTGATGGGGAATTCAATTTAAACATTCAGATACACAGAGAAAAAATAGAAATAAACAAATCTATTATATTACTAAATCTCGCTGTCGTTTAATATATTATTTTTTTTTATAATTATACAATGTATGCATTTATATATCGGTAGTTTAAAACAAGCACATCTAAAATAAATGTATGTTAAAATGATAACATGCACGAAAAACATGAAATTCTAACAGTTTTCACCGTTTTACTCCTTCATCACATCCGGAGTATAGAGGACTTATTTTAATCAGGCAAAAATTATAAATACAAATATATAAACATGTTGGCGTTTTATGCGTTATCGAGTCGTAAAAACTGAACTTTCAATTCTGTCCGTTGTCTGTGTGTGTGTGTGTGTCTGTGTGTAAACACAATAACTTGAGTACTGTTACAGCTAGGTTGATGAAATTTCATATACAAGTATTTCATCAAAATCGTAGATACTGATAAACTTTTGAGCGATTTCCGATAAACGGAAGTGGTACTTTTTCTACTTTGAATTTTTTAAAAGCCTATAACTTGAGTACTATTTCAGATAGATACATGAAATTTCACATGTAAGTAAAAGTTCTAATTCTCTACCATCTGTCAAATTTTGAGTAATTTCCGTTGATTAAAAGTACTAATTTACGCTATTTCCGAATTCTCAAAAACGAATGTAAATTTATAAAGTACTAATAATATTCCGCACTATTATGCACGTTTTATTTGGCGTTCACATGTGTGCAATTCTTTTTTCTACGAGATTTTATTCTATTTTAAAAAGTTTAAGTATTTAAAATGGATGAAAATTCATGTCTATATCCCGAGCTCCCATCCCCTGTTTTTTTTTATAAAAGAATATTCCAGAAAGTTTAGGGGAGATCGTTCCCGGTTTATTAAATTCAATGTTATTGCTGAATTCGACTAGAAGACTGTTCATAATTTCCAGCGCATAATCAAGTTGGTCTTTTATAAAAGTCGTCAAAATGCATTTAGATAAGACTTTTCATTGAGGTGTACGAAACATGAAACATTTAATAAGTGATTTTAGTAACTTGAGTTTTACCTTTACCTCGCGGTTTTCTTGGCAAAGATTTGTGTTTGTAAATTGATCAATATACTTAATGTATACCCAGCTCAGTTAAAGATTTTTAAAAAATACATAGCTGCTTCAATTTTTAAAAGACAAAAGTTTCAGTTTTAAGGGGATTAGTACGCTAAGGTGTCGTGTCATATTATTGGGGAGGGGAGGGGGGGGGGGGAGTCTGGCTTTTTGTGACGGTGTATGTAGGGCCGGCGCTACCTATAAGACCAACTAGGCGGTCGCCGAGGGCGCCATCTCTAGGGGGCGCAAAAGGTGTTATCGCTATTATCAAAAAAGCACCAAATAATTAATAACTTTTATAAAGGTATTTCGATCTATTTCGGCATCCAGGACGAACTTTCAATTTTGCACCCCCACCCCAAAAATTCGGTTTATATAGGCCTATATTTAATAGCAACATAGGCGTAGCGACCCTTCCCGGTGCCCGGGGACAAACTTTCCATTTGCACCCCCCCCCCCACTTGAACTTTTCATTTGCAACCCCCCCCCCCCTCAAACTTGCGATTTGCACCCCCCTCGAACTTTTGGTTTGCACCCCTCCCCCCCCCTCAAACTTTCGATTTGCACCCGGTGGCGGAACTAGAAAAAAATGGCCACCCCGCCAAAAAATTTCTGCCCCCCCATATATATATATATATATATATATATATATATATATATATATATATATATATATATATATATATATATATATATATATATATATATATATATATATATATATATATATATATATATATATATATATACAACACAGAATACAAACATTGGATAGTCGTTTCTCGCCTGATCGGGTTTTGAAAAAAAATGGTTTTTTGTTTTCAATGTAAACAAATTACACCATGTGTGTGAGTGCATTAATCTGTTTTGAATTTTTTTTTCATTCAATATGTTTGCTGTAATACTGCCTGCCCTCTAGGTTTAGCCGGTGAAAAGAATATAAATCTTGAAAGCTTTGCATATGTGTAATGGTTTCTCGTGTTATGTTTATTTTATGTTTTTTTGTATTTGTATTATTTGTTTCAAATATATTTCCTTTTTGTGTTATGTCAATCTTTAGTATGTATATTTTTAAAAATAATATTTAAGAGAAGTAATTGCTTTTTAATTTGTTTAGTACAAATATATTAAAAGGAGTTTCGGAGCACCCCTATTTAACAATTTAAAAAGAGGAAATAAGTCATGGAAGTGTTTTGAACATTTGCCTATCTTTCACACTACAGCTCAGGCATATACATTTTTTTTACGCAACAGCATGTGTAGTTACTGTATAACATCACTACTGTAATAGATATGTTTGTTATTTACAAAAGCTTTTACCGTTATGTCAAAAATGCAAGAAAATTATTTTTTTAACTAAAAAAATTATTATGGTCGACTATGGGCCCCTAAAGGCGTGGGCCCCCCCCGCATTGCGGGGTCTGGCGGCACTGTAGTTCCGCCCCTGTTCACCCCCCTCGAACTTTTCATTTGCACCCCCCCCCACTCAAACTTTCAATTTGGCGCCCCCCCTAAAGTCGGCGCCCGGGGACATATGTCCCCCCCCCACCCCACCCCCTCCCTCGATACGCCTCTGATTTGTAATTGTGAAAATGCAACCCCACCTCCCTAATTTGGAAATGCCGGGGCGCTTTTTAACAGTCACTTTGCCTTTTTAATTCGGTGTCACATAATTGATGTGGAAAACGATTAAATAAGTTCGTAATTTAAATTTCGAACATTTCAAATGGCTATCTAATTTTAATAGGGTTTGTAAGTCTCGTTTTCTCTGACTGTAGTAGTAGGTCCAGTGACATCGTTGTTGATTGGGAGTATCGTTTTTAGAGCTTGGTAAAGTTAAACGAATCCGTGTCGTAGTTCTGGAGCATCGAGACTAGTTATGTTTAATTATCAAAGTTTGGTATGTGTTGTGAATGTAGTAGATTGAGTATATCGAGGAGTCGAGTTTATCGTACGTAAGATGATTTCAATTCAGGACGGAATACACTACAAAGAAAGGTAGGCGTTCTCTAGCTAAAAAATATTTATTAAATGGATGGAATTTATAACTAACCGTAAACTTTTTTTTAAATTATAGTTTTTTTTTAATTAATCAATAATTATAGCAATGTCTATGATCTATAACATGTAGCCCTACCTGAGTGTTAAGTTTTGAAAAGCGTCC